GGTGGGGCCAGGTGTTAACCAGCCATGTCACCCAACTGGTGAGGTAAGAAGTGGCCAGTGGGGGGGCCATGGGCTCAAAGGCCAGTCTCATTTCCCAGTAAGTCTGAAGTGCCCTTGGTAGACACAATGAGCTCTTAATTCTGGGCACCGTGACACAAGAAAACCATGAACAGCAGACCAAAAATACTGAATCACAGCTCTCGGGGCCTGACCCTCACGCACGCAACCCCACCTATGGCAAAATGACCTCAGGAGCAGCGCTGTGCTGTGACTTCACAATGCAGTTGTTCATAATAATAACAGAGTCAAAGTGGGCAGAGGGAAGGGAGCTGAAATTCATAGAGCACTCACTTTGAGCTAGGCACTCCCGTAGGCCCTCATACTTATAACTATGATTTCTAGCATTCTTAGCAAGTGCCACGGTCCTGACTATTTCTCATGAATGAACTTTGTTTTCACTTGAGCTCTGTGTGGTGGGTACCTCCACCACCATCCCTAGTTCAGAGATGAGGAAACTGAGGCCCAGAGAGGTGATCCACACTTAGCCCCACAGCCAGGCCTTGGTGTAACCAGGAGCTGGGCTCGAGGTCTCTTGATGGAAACTGTGTCAGCACATCCCTGGCAGCCCCCGTGGGTAGGAACTCTTAGATCCATCCTCAGAAGGGGAAGCTGGGGACACGTGGCTGCAGCGGGGCCAAACTGAGACGGCTGCTCACCCTTCTTCACCTGCAGCCCCCTCTGCTCAAGGAGGAAGGGTGGATTTAAACGAATTTCCACTTAAAACAGTTCGAAGAAAATGTTAAAGCACTCAGAGGGACAACCCTGCGTGGGCCTCGTGGGCTTTAGCACTCTCTCTGTCATGGGTCATTTCTGCCATGACAACTGTGACTGTGGACCTTACGGGTCAGGAAAGGGTCTGCTCTGTGGAATCCCCGGTGCACAGACAGAAGAGAAGGCAGAGGAGGGAGGCGAACACACCACCTGCCCTCCAACACTCAGCACCTGGGACGGAGGGACCAACCATCCCAAACCCACCCTGGGAGGCTGACCCAACAGCGTCGGCTGTCCCCACTGGGCAGATGGGAAACATGGCTACCCAGCTAGAAAGCGATGAGTGAGCACCTGATCCAGGGACCTGAGAACCTCAGAGACCATGGGGCTAAGGCTTCACACAGATGGAAGGACAAGCCTATCTTGCCCAGCACCTCCACCCCATTGCCCCACACTTTGGCTCCAATGAGCAGAGCCTGGTTCCCCAGGCAGATCTCAGGCTCCTGGTTCTGCTGCCCCTCTCACAGTCTGGGTGTGCCACCCAGCCTGGGCTGCTCCAGGGCCCATCCTTCCTGGGATTACAGCTCAGTGTGGGGGCATGACATGGATAGACACAGTGCCCTGATCATACCTGCCATAGAAGAACATGAGCTCCTGGGACTCCGGATTTGGTCCCTTGGGGGAGCAGCTGCAGGAGAGGATGGCCCCACCTCTGCAGCTGTGGCAAGGAGCAGGGACGTGAAGGGAGCAGGAAGAGGGAGGCTCATGGACCCAGCCCAAGGCTGGTCCCCCCAGCAAGGCTCAGGACCTGCAAGCGTCAGGGGCGGGGGCTCCTCTACAGGGGCTTTTCCTTGGCTTCAAGCTGCCTCCAGGCCATTCTCAAGCACACAGGTTGGGAGTCTGCTACTCACTCAAGATCAGCTAACTTAGGTTTCCAAGTGGACAGAAACTCCATGGGATACACATTGGGAAATGGAAACAGGCAGCCCTAATATTTCCAGCCACACATTTGAATGAAACCCAAGTGATTTCCTCTGTGTTTATGCAGAACCAGAGATTTGATTTTTAACTGTGCTTCACCCATCCCATTAACTATCATGTCGTGCCTGCATCATGGTCGCTTCCCCGAGGAGCTCATCAAGGGGACATGGAGACAGGCAGAGGATCCCCGGCACGTGAACAGCTAAGGAGGAGGAAAATAGGAGGAGGAAGTGGTAAGATCTCAGGGAGGCTGCGGGCTGGTGCCCATGCAGAGGTGTCCGCAGGGCCCATCCTTTGCCCCGGATTATCACAGGCTGGCTGAGTTGGTATCAGCCCAGAAAGCAGAACAGGTGACACCACAGGGCCATCTCCACAAGCTTAGCCTTACCAGCAGCAAGCCAGGAAACACATTGGATGCAGGAGGCACACTGCCAGCAGCCACTCTTTAAGAACACCAGCCCTTATCTGCTTTTAAGAATTGTGGGGAGGGGGCCAGCCGGGTGGTGTAGTGGTTAAGTTCACGTGCTCTGCTTTGGTAGGCCAGGGTTTGCAGGTTCAAGCCATGCTGTAGCAGGCCTCTCACATATAAAGTAGAGTAAGATGGGCATGGATGGTAGCCCATGGCCAATCTTCCTCAGCAAAAAAAAAAACCAAAAAAATAAAAAAACAACCAGAATTGTGGGGAGGAAAGCTAGGCAAGTGAAATTTTCAGAGGAAGCATTTAAAACATATTCTAGCTAAAAATGTTCTCCAAGGGCAACCTTTTTTTTTTTTTTAAGATTCAGTCCAATCCATGCCCATGTGTAGCTTCTAAACTAACATGTATATTCACAAGCCATTTTCTTGGTAAAATTTCTAAAACGTTCTCAAGGAAGATTCCATGGCAATAGAGCTCAAATAAAATTATGGAGACTTGATCTAAACAGAAAGAAACCCAATATTCTCCAAACAAAAAGTCCACTTGGTTGCTAGTGACTGAAAGGCAAGCTGACAGCAGACCGGGGAGATCCAGGCCAGTGAGGGGAAGGAGTGAAGGGTGACGAGAGCCTTGGAAATAACCAGCGTGGCAGAGGGGACTTCATCAGGACATTGGTCACTGAAGGATGCTTCCTGTCATGGCAATTTTGCTTCTCTACGCAATCTCCTAACTGCAGGGACTTAAAAATATGACCATTTGGATCATGGGGAGCCTCTGCCCTGTCATTCAGGTCCATCAGCATTTTTGTCAAAGGTCCCATTCAGCTTTCATTGCTCACAAAACATCTCTGGGGTGAAGCAGCATCGGATCGCACTCAGCCCATCCCCCTGCCTCCGATAATAATTAACAGCTGATACTTAGTGAGCGCCAACCATGAGGTCCACCCCCGCCAGACACAACATGCAGTAGTTACTCTTTGTCTCCTGATTTTAAGGATAAGGACACCAGGAGTTACAAGGTGAAGTATTTGCTCAAGGTCATCCGGTCAGTGTGTGACAGAGACAAGACGCATACTAGAGGCATATCTAGATGTCTAATTTCAGAGTCCTCCTCTGGACCGCCTTGACCTACTCCCTTGTGTGAGATCTCACAACTGTGGAAAAGGTGAAAAATGAAGGACTATGTGGCAGGGAAGAAAGTCCGATGAACTGATGAACTGATTAGTTAACTTCATAATACCGCCATCAATAATGCTAAAACGGGTGAAAACTAGCTAGGGAAGAGAATATTCCCATGGTCTCAATGTTCACCCCACTGATTACTTATTAATTACAAGGAATAAAAAACAGTAACTTTATAAAGGAGAGCTCTGGCAGAAGCCACCTTAGCCAGGTGAACAAACTTAATCATCACCAATACCAGGTCATAATGTCATGGTGTGCCCACTGATGTGGTGTAAAAAAACGAAATGTTTACCTGAATCTAAGTATGAGGAAACAGTCAGACAAACTCAGACTGTGAGACACTCTACAAAACAAATGGCTTAGATTCTTCAAATACGTCACATCACAAAAGACAAAAACAAAAGCAGGGTTTGGTTTAGATTTAAAGAGATATAACCAAATTCACTGCATGAAACTTAACTGAATGCTAGATAGGGGAAAAGAGCTCTGAAGAATATTTTGAGGACAACCAGAGGTATTTGAATAGGGACGATATATTGGTTAATATGACTTTATCAATGTTAAATTCCACAGTGATAATGGTGTCATAGTTTTGAAGAAGGCAGCCAATGAACTTAGGGGATACATGCCAAAGTATGTCATGATGTCTACAATTTACTTTCCAATGATTCAGAGAAAAAAACTGAACACACACATACACGAGACACACAAATACATATTCACAATCTCTCTAGGTATGTATGTGTGTGTATATGTGGGTAAACAATTGGTAAATCCAAGTGAAGAACATATGTGTTCACTGCACTATTCTTTCCATTTTCCTGCAGATTTGAAGTTTATCAAAATGAAAAATAGGCAAAAAAGTAAATGAAAATGTTTGTTTGAAGAGTCATAAGGCAAAAGAATTGCTATGCTATGCTATCAACTGGATAAAAATTGTATTTCTGGGGTCCAGCCCCGTGGCTTAGCGGTTAAGTGCACGCGCTCCGCTGCTGGCGGCCTGGGTTTGGATCCCGGGCGCACACTGATGCACCGCTTGTCTGGCCACGCTGAGGTGGCGTCCTACATACAGCAACTAGAAAGATGTGCAACTATGACATACAACTATCTACGGGGGCTTTGGGGAGAAAAGGGGAAAAAAAGGAGGAGGATTGGCAATAGATGTTAGCTTAGGGCTGATCTTCCTCACCAAAAAAAAATTGTATTTCTGGACAAGAACTAAAAGGAAATATTAAAAATGAAAGTAATTAATATATTTCATGATGAGACTTTTTATTTTTGTTTTTATTTACATTACTCTTATAATACTTTAAAAATCAATCATGATAGCAACCAATGGCAACAGACCGACTTAGTAAATAATTTTGCACTCGTGTGATCAAGTCACTTGCTGGTCATTCACTACAGTCACGTTCTTGTTAAGAACAATGTTTATTATTCTAAACACAAATTCTAATGCAATATGAAATTCACTTCATAATTCTTTCTCAATGGACGTTAGTGGATAAATAACACTCTATCCCTGGCTTTAGATCTGATTTCCAGGCAATCTGCTCCCAGGACCACTATGAGCTCTGCTGCTAGAGATGCTGACTGCACTTGCCCCTCTGCATGGTCACAAGGGACCCCATGAACATGGAACTTACTTTTTAGACAGTGTGATGCTCTGGAGGTGTGTGGCAGTCAGGCATCCGGGGTGATGCTGCACCGTCCCTGCTGGAAATGGCCCATCGTTGCCCCAGAAGAAGGTGTAAGACCACAGCCCCTGAGAACTCTGGAAAAGACAAGAACAAAAGAGGATGTTCACGTTTCATTAAAAGTGAGAATTTAAAGTTTTGATTTTAAGAATTAATTTTTTTTGTATTTTAAAATTTAAATGTTAATATTTCAAATTTAAAAATGACTTTAAATAATCAATATGAACTTGAAATGATCTTGACAGTGAATCCCAAGCCCCTGAATCTCCCTCCTCATCACACGTTCCCACCCTTTGATTTTTAGTAAATGCAGGCGTTGGGAGGCAGGTCAGGATGAATGGGAAAAGTCTCTTCGCGGTAGACTCAGAGAAGTGACCGTGGGGCCAGAAACCATGAGAAGCTCATGCGTTACACTGATGTTCCAGGAGAGGTGCACAGTGCTTCCCAGAGGCGTTCACAAATGGAAGCCTGACTTCTGACATTCCATGAGAATCTCAGGTGGTGTGCTCCATGGAGAATCTCAAAATGAGGAAGCTGCTCAGAATCCCCTCCTAGACTGTGGTGTGGTCCAAGGGGAATCTGAGAAGTCAGAGTGATAACGACATCTCGGGCCCCACAGGGTGCACTATGCTCCATAGTGGTGGGAAGGAGTGTCATGTACAGCATCCTTAGTCTGGAGGGCCCCGTGGACCACACTGCAGTCCAGGCAGGTGCACTGTGACCCACAGTGGGGCAGCAAAGCATCATGAACAGCATCTTGACTCCTGAGATCCACTCGCTTATCTGCAACGTAGGGTCTTTTTTTTGCAGGTGTCAGAACCCTAGGATGTTCCAGACCCCCAGCTGGCTTCCCCTTTGACATCTCCCACCTGGATGGATAAACCGCGCATCTTCATAAGCATAATTGCTTTACTTTCAACATCTCAAAGCTAATGCGACTGCTCTCTCTTTTTGGTGGTTTGTATCTTTTATCAACATAAAATACTTTAGTTTCCTGTACACCCTCCCATCTTGAATTCTACTCTGCTACTTGTATTGCTGCTCCTCATTCTTTATGTAATATTGCTTGTTATATTTTTGTCTATGCCTTTACATTTTTACCTTTTTGGTCATTGTAATCAGCAGTGTCTCACCTAATACCGTATAGACAAAATTTAATCCTTTACTCAATTTCAGAGCATCTGTCTTTTAACTGGGAATTTAACCTGTTCCATTTTTTCTTTTGGTGGAGTGGCAGTAGGGTAGAGGGATGACATTTTCATTTAGACCTTTCTTCATCATCTTTTTGAGGGTTTTCTACTTTTTAAGTTTTATTATTTGTTTTTTTTTAGTCTTTACTATCTTTAACTCAGTTGATTGTTTTTATTTTTCCTGTAATATTTCTTAAAAGTTATATATATTATTTTTTCTTCTAGTATTTCACTTAGATTTGTAACACACACATGTCTATTCATTTTTTTTATCCAAACTGAACATTAATTAACATATATAGTCAGTTCAGTGTGACTCCCTTTCTGCACTACCTGCTCTCTTTTTTGAAATCTTTTTATTTAAAATATTCTAAATTGCTTTTAATTTTCATGCTTCTCCTTTCTTAGGAATCATTTCTTAACAATTGTCTTAAGCTTCACAGCTATATTATTAATAATTATAACATGCAACTGTTTTACTGTTTGTTAATTAATCACAGATAATTTACATATCTCTTGCTTCTCCTTTATTGAATTAATTTTTTATTTTACTACAGGGAGTTTTTGAGTAGTTCTTTCAAAATGGTTTCATACATAATACATTTTCTGAATACTTGACTAGAAATGGGAAGAGACTAAATGCAAAAGAATCAGCTATGAGAATCAATAGCTAAAACAATCTTGATAAAGGAAAACGAAGTTGGAGGTCTCACACTTCCTGATTTTGAAACTTACTACAAAGCTACGGTAATCAAAACAGTGTGGTATGGGCATAAAGACAGACATATAGACCAATGGGATAGAACAGAGTCCAGAAATAAACCCTTGCATATATGGTCATCGATGTTCAACAAGGGTGCCAAGACCATCCAGTGGGGAAAGGATAGTCTTTTCAACTAACGCAGCTGGGAAAGCTGGATATCCACATGCAAAAGAATGAAGCTTGACCCTTACCTTACATAATATATAAAAATTAACTCAAAATGGATCAAAAATCTACTTGTAAGGGCTGAAACTAAAAAACTCTTAGAGTAAAACATAGGAGAAAACTTCATGACATTGGATTTGGCAATGATTTCTTGAGTATGATACCAAAAGCACAGGCAACATAAGAAAAAAAGTAGACTTCATCAAAATTAAGTACTTCCATCAAAGGACACCATCACAGAGTGAAAATGTAACCCACAGAATGGGAGAAAATAGTTGCAAATCATATATCTGATAAGGGATTAATATCCAGAATATATAAAGAACTCCTACAAATCAACAAAAAACCCAAACAACCCAGTTCAAAAATGGGCAAAGGACTTGAATAGCCATTTCTCCAAAGAAGATAAACAAAAGGCTAATAAGCACATGAAAGGATGCTTAACATTACTAATTATTAGAGAAATGCAAACCAAAACCACAATGAGACACCAGTTTGTACCTATTAAGATGGTTATTATCAAAAAAACCCAGAAAATCACAAGTGTTGGTAAAGATGTAGGGAAATTTGAACCCTTGTGCATTGCTGGTGGGAATGCAAAATGGTGTAGCCTCTGTAGAAAACAATATGGTGGTTCCTCAAAAAATTAAACATAGCATTACCACATGATCCAGCAATTCCACTGCTGGATATATATCCAAAAGAGCTGAAAGCAGGTACTCAAAGACATATTTGTACACCCATGTTCATAGCAGAATTATTCACAGTAGACAAAAGGTGGAAGCAACCCAAGTGTCCATCAACAGATGAATGGATAAACAAAATAAGGTATAATCACATAATTAAATATTATTCAGTCTTAAAAAGGAAATTCTGACATATGTTACAATATGGAGGAAACTTGAGGACATTATGCTAAAAGGACAAATATTAGATGATTCCACTGGTATGAAGTATCCAGAGTGGTCGAATCCATGGGGAAAGAAAGTAGAATGCTGGCTGCCAGGGGCTGGGGGAGGGAGGAATGGTGAGTTAGTGTTCAATGGGTAAAGAGTTTCAGTCGGGGAAGATGAAAAAGTTCTAGAGAAGGATGGTGGTGATGGTCTCACGACAATATGAATGTACTGAATACTAGCGAATGTATACTTAAAAACGATTAAAATGGTACATTTTGTGCTATGATTATTTTCTCACAATAAAATATTTTAAAAATAAACACAGAAAAGAATGAGAATCAGACTGAAGATTTTCCACTGACCACACAGCATTCAAAGAGAAATATATTTCAAGACAGGGGGTTGTGGGGAGTAAAATTTGGAACCTAGGACTTTATGGGCAGCCAGATTACCTTTTAAGAGAAAAGGTGATACACATTTGCAGACACACATAGGCTCAGAAAATTCATTGTCCACAGACTCTTGAAAACATTTACAGAGAAAGTACTCAAAATAAAAAGAAATCCAACATGAAAAGGTGAGATACAAGAAGCAATGGTGAGTTAAAAGAAATGATAATATTGTATTTATTTGAATTATTAATAAACTGCTTTGAAAAAGTAAAGGTTAAAAATAAAGGGACAAAATAAGTTATCTTAGTCTAATGTTAAAAAATATAAAATTTATAGTAATTTTAATATTCAACAAAATAAAATTTGATGTGTAAGGCTATTTTAACATTATATATTTACCACATTATACATTCAAGAGAAAAATCAGATGACAGTTCAAAAGATTTGCATTGATATAATTCAACACCAATTCATGATAAAATAAAATATCATTAGCAAAGTAAAACTATAAAAGAAGTTCCTTAACTTGATATAGGATACTTTCTAAAAATTACAACAAATACTACAAATAATGGTGAAATGTTGAATAACGTTGAATGCCTTTCTTTTAATATCAGGAATAAGATAAGGGTGCTACTATCACTGCTTGTCTTCAGTGCTCTCTGGAGGTCTTAGCCAGTGAGAAAAGGCAACATAAATAAGTCAATTAATTAATAATAAAGTAATAATTATAAAAATTATAAAGTATAATTATACAACTTTAGGAAAAGATATTAAAGTAGATCTGAACAAGTGGAGAGATAAATTGGAAGACTTATTATACCTCTATAGATTCAATATAGTTGCATTCAATATCTTAAGGTGTGTGTGTGTGTGTGTGTGTAACTTGTAAGTTAATGCTAAAATTTACTTGGAAGCAAAGTCCAATGCACATTGAGGAAAAAGAGCAAGGCAGAATAAAGGCCCTATCGGATAATAAGACTCATCACACAGTGGCAGTAGTTAAGACAGTGCGTCATTAGTGCAGGATGTTCAAGGACAAGAGTAGAACAGAACAGAAAACCCAAGAAACGGGGCCAGCCCAGTGGCGTAGCAGTTAAGTTCTTGAGTTTCACTTCGGTGGCCCGGGGTTCATTGGTTCGGATCCTGGGCGTGGAACTACTTACAACTTATCAAGCCATGCTGAGGCGGTGTCATACACAGAAGAGCTACAACTCTACAACTATGATATACAACTATGTACTGGGGTTTTGGAAAGAAACAAAAAAAGAAAACCTAAGAAAGGACCATATATATGGGCATTTGATATACGACAGATGATTTTGCAGATCTATTGGAAAAAGAACAGACTTTGCAATACATAATGCTAAGACAAGTGACTATGCAAATCAAAACAACAAAATTGGACCTCACTTCAAATCACGTCAAAAAAATATATTTCTAACTTACAGCTAAACTATACAAATTCTAGAAGAGAATATAGAAAATATTTTATGACTTTGAAGTGAGGAAGAATTTCTTCAACAAGGCAAAGCAAGAACACACCATAAAGGAAATGATTGATAAATATGACTAAAATAAATTATAAACTATTTCTCATGAAAAGACACTATAAAAAAAGTGGTTAGACAAGCCACACACTTGGAGAAGATATTTGCAAAACATAAC